CTCTCTCTCTCTCTCTCTCTCTCTCTCTCTCTCTCTCTCTCTCTCTCTCTCTCTCTCTCTCTCTCTCTCTCTCTCTCTCTCTCTCTCTCTCTCTCTCAGCCACCGTGCCTTCCTAATTCAGCACGGCTCACTGGTAATTCTGCCTGCCGTGTATATCCCAAAGAATTATCGTGTCCTTTCTTCAGTATTTATCTGTATGAGTCTACGTCTGTCTGTGTACAAATGTGAATTATTGTCTGAAGTCTGCCTCACCTCTCTGGTGTTGGGCTCTTGACTAATGACCCGCGGGAGGAGTATTAATAACCCCGGTAGAGGTAATACTGACTATCCTGTTATTATACTTTAGTCTTGTATTCAGTACAGGACTAATATATAGTTTTAATGTGTATTCATTGAGAAAGGACATACGTCTCTCTGTGTATATATATATATATATATATATATATATATATATATATATATATATACGATAGCAGCTTATTGGTCGTTTAATGTTGGTGGGAATTCTATATCTAGGGATGACAATTATCGAAGTTATTCTTTATGTAGTTACTATTTATCAAAATTATTGTATCGTTATTCTATTATTTCTTCTTTCAAGCAACCTGTATTCACGCTGGGTATTTGATGCCTGTCCACTTGGTGCATGCTTTCAGGGAATCTTGTATGTTGTGATCATGTCCGCGCTGTTCGGCCTCTATTCCGGCGTTAAAGAGTCCAGATATCGGCCTTTCCTCGTAGCTCTGGCCTTTTAGATCCAGATCCAATCCTGTAGCAAATTAACGGGCCTTTCTAACTTCTTCTCTTTATTTAAGGTATGCATGAGAGTGTATGAATATGTGGGTGTAAGTGCGTGTGGGTGAGTGTGAGTGCGTGTGGGTGAGTGTAAGTGCGTGTGGGTGAGTGTGAGTGCGTGTGAGTGAGTGTGAGTGCGTGTGGGTGAGTGTAAGTGCGTGTGAGTGCGTGTGGGTGAGTGTAAGTGCGTGTGCGTGAGTGTAAGTGCGTGTGCGTGAATGTAAGTGCTTGTGCATGAGTGTGAGTGCGTGTGGGTGAGTGTAAGTGCGTGTGGGTGAGTGTAAGTGCGTGTGCGTGAGTGTGAGTGCGTGTGCGAGCGCCTCCTTCCCTACCATTTAGAGCCATAACAACTTAACGGAACAACGACATAATTCCGACACCATAAGTATTCAGGGCCCGGTTCTGGGAAGTGTGTGACACTCCCTGCGCTTCCTTACTTGTTTGTTACTGGAGGGGGTCTCCGGCGGTGCCCGGGTCTCTCTCTATCTCTCTGTCTACCCTCTCTGTCTCATCTCTTGTTTCCCCTATCTCTCTCATCATCCCATCTTTCCCCTATCTTCAACTTTCTCCACAAGATCGCCCCTTATCCTCTCTCTCTCTCTCTCTCTCTCTCTCTCTCTCTCTCTCTCTCTCTCTCTCTCTCTCTCTCTCTCTCTCTCTCTCTCTCTCTCTCTCTCTCTCTCTCTCTCTCTCTCTCTCTCTCTCTCTCTCTCGCACCTGTCTCCCCCTCTATCTCCTTCCCTTTCTCCAAATATCCCTCTTATCCTTCGTTCCCACCGTTCTCAGAAAATTTTAACACCTAATTCACGATCATCGTTTTGGAGTGAATAAGTCTTGGGGATCGACCAACCACCTTTCACTAATTGCGTGTGAAAGGTCATTATTGGGCCCTAATTCCCTCTTAATAAGGCCAGTACGACTGTACCCCGACCAGCTTATGACCGTCCCATACCCTACACCAGTCACCCTGCAAAGTTAGGTGAGGCTAGCCCCAAGCATCTGGCCTATAACCTCACTGAAACAAATAGTCGCTTTTCTCTTATATAGATTGTATTATCACTATTTTGATCATTTATATTTAATGAATTAGAACAAAAAGGCCCACAAATTAATTTATATCTTATTAGTTTATCTAAACTTGTATTTAATTATTAACCAAAAAATAAAATTGTTTTGAACCCGAAGTCGTGTGATTACCTTCGAACAGTTTCCCGCCTTTTTCATCTCAGTTTAATTATGTTGACGTCCGCTTGTTGCAAATTTTAATGGAGTTCGCGCGCTTTTGGTTCATGAGGACGGCAATCATCTGCTCGTCTGACGGCCAGACATACACCGCCTTACTCCCCGATGCTGTATTCATACCAACACACGTATCACTCGGCGACATATACACAAAGTGAATGTTGCGAGTATTCACATTATTCATAATTAAAGAGCCGGCTGGCTTGGGTTGCCATGGCGACACGGTAGCATTATGTGACGTCATCCCTGGCAACGCACCCTGGCGCCACGAGTAAACATAGTTACACATACACATCGGTGTATATAAACTACTCTAGAAATACTTCAAGTATTTCTAGATTATAGGTCACTGTAATCGTCCGGAACCTAGGTTACAGCGACTAGAAAAGCTGTATTGGCTAAAATTACCAATATCACGCTCAATTTTCCTGGGGTAACTGCGATAAACGTGAATAATCCCATTTATCCTAGAGGATTAATAATTACCCTAGAGGATTAAGGTAATTAAGCGCGGAGCTCAACAGCGCACAGCAGCGCCCTGAGCGCTTGAGCACTTAGTGTCTACATGGGAAGGTAGTGTCGCGTGCCCCGGGACTTTAGGGGAAAATAGGGAGTTTTGGGGAGTGGGCTGAGAACCCGTCTTACCCAAAATGTCTCCCCACCATTCAAGATCAAAATAGCTTCAAACCCGGCAAGTGGGCAGATGCCCTAAAGATCTAAGTGTATAGGCAAGACAACAACGTCTCTCTCTCTCTCTAAGCTTTTAACAATGCACAAACAACAGGGCTCCATCAAGGAGAATACAATCTCTTCTCACAACCAGACCATCACCGGAGAAATCTTAACAAGCAACACAAAAAATTATCGACAGATACAACGACAACAGGAGACTCGACATCAGCGAGGCACTACACATTAAAAAGTCAACACCAGCAATCAACAGCCAATTAACACATAATTACATTCTACCCACTTCAAGACCCCGAACCAGCACAGAAGGAAGAAGATAGAACACACAATGACCTATAATACCCACTGTACCACTAATCCACTTGTTCATCTCAATCCCGTCCTGTACCACCTCACCCAAAGTGAATATGAGCATTGGCAGAGAATTGAAAATTTGTCTTTGAAAATGTAAGGAGTGCCTTGCGAAACGCTTCCCTAGGCGTCAACCATAAATATAGTGTGAAAATGAACTTTGGAGAGTTAATTTTTCAAGTTCCCTCGACAATGAAGAAAAACATAAGAAATATTGAGAGGATTCGTGTTAGAATCATTATTCTTACCATTTCGGTCATATTCAACAACATTATATATATATATATATATATATATATATATATATATATATATATATATATATATATATATATATATATATATATATATATATATAATATATATATATTCATTTCTAATTGTGTTTGTAGGGAGCCTGGGACTGGAAGGTATATAAAAGGAAGACACAATATCATTACCCACAGCAGCGTGGATAAAGACAATACATTTCCTGGGACCATCTGAAGAAACTCGCCCCGAGGAAGTTGACGAGACAAAAGAAGGTAGGAACAATAAACAGGTTAAACAGGTTCAGACAAGAGACAATCTGGAGGAGTGTGTGGCCAGGGGGGGAGGAGGTCTCCACATCACCAAACAAACGGTGATCTGCATCTTACAAGGGGCGAGGGTTGAATTGAGTCATTTATTATGCGCCTCATTCCATTGGTTAGGAGGGGGTGTGGTGGGAGTGGTTCATTGAGGCGGGGAGTTGGTGGTTCACTCACTGATGAACAATGTTCAGTCTGTGTCTTGTACAGACACAGTGGTGCATAGATTATAATAGAGATGATTTACAGGAGCAGATTGTACTGAGTCTGCACTATACAGTATTGGATCATTTGGAGAGACTTGGAACATTTTGGGTAATATAGCATTATTAAACAAAATTATTTAAACAATGATAAAAGTTGGGTTTTTATTTTGATTTTTTTTTATCTGAGTCTGTCTTCCAGTCTGTCCAATTTTGTGTCTGCCTTAGCTTAGAGGCGAGACATATTACCCAACTTTGCAGGGTGACTGGTGAGTGGCGGGAAGCTGTCAGCCGCGGGTCGTAATAAAAACATTGACGAGTAGAGGTGTCACTGGCACAGTTACGGAACACAGCATGAACACCAGAGGTCCGAGGTTGTCCCATGTCCTATCAAGAGCTCTCACTATCATCAGCGGCATATGCCAGCTTGGGCAACAAAAGAACGGCTTTTAGAAACTGGTGCAAGGAATCATTCAGAACTTTCTATACCACTTACGTCAGACCAATCATGGAGTATGCGGCTCCAGCGTGGAGTACATATCTAGTAAAACACAAAACGAAGTTAGAAAACGTTTAGAGGTATACCACCAGGATTGCCTCCGAGCTGAGAGGTATGAGCTACGAGGAATGACTACTAGAACTCAACCTCACGACACTGAAAGACTGAAGAGTTTGGGGGAGACATGATAACCACCTATAAAATTCTCAAGAGGAACTGACAGGGTGGATAAAGACAAACTATTTAGCACGGGTGGGACACGAACAAGGGGACACAGGTGGAAACTGAGTGCCCACATGAGCCACAGAGACGTTAGAAGGAACTTTTTCAGTGTCAGAGTAGTTAACGGATGGAATGCATTAGGCAGTGATGTGGTGGAGGCTGACTCCATACACAGTTTCAAATATAGATATGATAGAGCCCAATAGGCTCAGGAACCTGTACACCAGTTGAATGACAGTTGATAGGCGGGACCAAAGAGCCACAGCTCAACCCCTGCAAACAGAAAGAGGTAAGTACACTCAAATGCCACAACCCCTTCCCTCCCCCCCCCCACATTCATTCCACCCACTAATCACCCCCCCCCCCCGCCCCTCCTTCCCTACTGAGCGTGTGAATAAGGTGGTTCCGCTAAAGGCTTGGTCCGTCACGATGGGTATCGACCCCGGGGATCACAATGGCCAGGCAGCACGGTTATCTCACTCGCCGCTTTGTTCTTATAGTTCAAGTGTTGGCCCGCATTGTGACTCCCCACACCTCCTCCCCCGCGCCTCCTCCCCGCGCCTCCTCCCCACGCCTCCTTCCCACGCCTCCTCCCTACGCCTCCTCCCTACGCCTCCTCCCCCGTGCCTCCTCCCCGCGCCTCCTCCCTACGCCTCCTCCCCCGTGCCTCCTCCCCGCGCCTCCTCCCTACGCCTCCTCCCTACGCCTCCTCCCCACGCCTCCTCCCCCGCGCCTCCTGCCCGCGCCTCCTCCCCGCGCCTCCTCCCCGCGCCTCCTCCCCCGCGCCTCCTGCCCGCGCCTCCTGCCCGCGCCTCCTCCCCCACGCCTCCTCCCCGCGCCTCCTGCCCGCGCCTCCTCCCCCGCGCCTCCTCCCCGCGCCTCCTTCCCACGCCTCCTCTCCGCGCCTCCTCCCCACGTCTCCTCCCCGCGCCTCCTCCCCGCGCCTCCTCCCCCACGCCTCCTCCCCACGCCTCCTCCCCGCGCCTCCTGCCCGCGCCTCCTCCCCGCGCCTCCTTCCCACGCCTCCTCCCCGCGCCTCCTGCCCGCGCCTCCTCCCCGCGCCTCCTCCCCCGCGCCTCCTCCCCCACGCCTCCTCCCCGCGCCTCCTGCCCGCGCCTCCTGCCTCCTCCCCCACGCCTCCTCCCCGCGCCTCCTGCCCGCGCCTCCTCCCCCACGCCTCCTGCCTCCTCCCCCACGCCTCCTCCCCGCGCCTCCTGCCCGCGCCTCCTCCCCCACGCCTCCTCCCCGCGCCTCCTGCCCGCGCCTCCTCCCCCACGCCTCCTCCCCGCGCCTCCTGCCCGCGCCTCCTCCCCCACGCCTCCTGCCCGCGCCTCCTCCCCCGCGCCTCCTCCCCCGCGCCTCCTCCCCCGCGCCTCCTCCCCCGCGCCTCCTCCCCGCGCCTCCTCTCCCGCGCCTCCTCCCCCGCGTCTCCTCCCCGCGCCTCCTCCCCCGCGCCTCCTCCCCGCGCCTTCTCTCCCGCGCCTCCTCCCCCGCGCCTCCTCCCCGCGCCTCCTCCCCACGCCTCCTCCCCACGCCTCCTCCCCCGCGCCTGCTCCCCCGCGCCTCCTCCCCGCGCCTCCTCCCCCGCGCTTCCTCCCCGCGCCTCCTCCCCCGCGCCTCCTCCCCCGCGCCTCCTCCCCGCGCCTCCTCCCACGCGCATCCTCTCCCCACGCCTCCTCCCCCGCGCCTCCTCCCCCGCGCCTCCTCCCCGCGCCTCCTCCCCCGCGCCTCTTCCCCGCGCCTCCTCCCGGCACCTCCTCTCCACACTTCCTCCCCACGCCTCCCCCACACCTCCCCACACCTCCTCCCCACACCTCCCAACACCTCCCCACACCTCCTCCCCACACCTCCCCACACCTCCCCCCCACACCTCCCCCCACACCTCCCCACACCTCCCCCACACCTCCTCCCCACACCTCCCCCTCACCTCCTCCCCACACCTCCCCACACCCCCCCCCCACACCTCCTCACACCTCCCCCAAACCACCTCCCCACACTTCCTCCCCACACCTCCCCACACCTCCCCCACACCTTCTCCCCACACCTCCCCCCACACCTCCTCCCCACACCTCCCCCACACCTCCCCCACACCTCCTCCCAACACCACCACACACCTCCTCCCCACACCTCCCCAACACTTCACAAAATTATTGATATCATGTATTTCGAGAATAATAAAATTCTGCGCATTTAGATTTTGTATCCATTAGTTAATATGAGGATGAGAAGTGCTACAAGGATGGCCGCCTTAAGGGAAACATAACTTGTCTTTGTAAATAATTTTACAGCTTTGTAAATAATTTACTGCTTGTCTTAGTGACCGGTTTCTAAGGAATCTGAATGGCCAGCATCGAACCAGTTAACTTGTTTTTCTTCAGGGCTTAATATCATGCTGAATCAATCACCTCAAGTTGACCTTAAATGCCTTTTTAAATTCCATAGTTTGCAACCTGTAGGATTTACATATGTTATGTTAGATAATTTACACCTATGCTGGTAGACAGTTTACAGCTATGCTGGTAGACAGTTTATACCCATGTTGGTAGACAGTTTACAGCCATGCTGGTAGACAGTTTATACCCATGCTGGTAGACAGTTTACAGCTATGCTGGTAGACAGTTTACAGCCATGCTGGTAGACAGTTTACAGCTATGCTGGTAGACAGTTTATACCCATGCTGGTAGACAGTTTACAGCCATGCTGGTAGACAGTTTACAGCCATGCTGGTAGACAGTTTATACCCATGCTGGTAGACAGTTTACAGCCATGCTGGTAGACAGTTTACAGCTATGCTGGTAGACAGTTTACAGCTATGCTGGTAGACAGTTTATACCCATACTGGTAGACAGTTTACACCCATGCTGGTTGACAGTATATACCCATGCTGGTAGACAGTTTCACCCATGCTGGTAGACAGTTTACACCCATGCTGGTAGACAGTTTACACCCATGCTGGTAAACAGTTTACAATCATGTCGTTGGATAATTTACATCCAGTCTATTATTCCAGCAATAGTCGATATTGAACAAGATCTGAGGCAACAAGCTCTACCTGTACCTTCAGCTCCAACACTCCGGCCTGTGAACATGAATTTATTACGACTTGCTGCGACACCAAGGACAGTGTGAGAGAGAGAGAGAGAGAGAGAGAGAGAGAGAGAGAGAGAGAGAGAGAGAGAGAGAGAGAGAGAGAGAGAGAGAGAGAGAGAGAGAGAGAGAGAGAGAGAGAGAGAGAGAGAGAGAGAGAGAGAGAGAGAGAGAGAGAGAGAGAGAGAGAGAGAGAGAGGACAGAGAGAGAGAGAGTGTGTGAATGTTGGAGGAAGAGGAGTGAGGAAGATAACGAGTAAGAGAGGACATGTATGAGGGAGATTGCGAGGGAGAGAGAGAGAGAGAACGAGAAAGAGGAAGGGAGAGAAAGAGAGATAACAAGGGGAAGGGAGAGACGGAAGGTCAGGAGAAGATAGCAAGACTCGTGAACAGAAAAATACTTTGAACCATATACACGCATATTGATACATATATACGCTTGTATATAGGTACTGATATATATACGCTTGTATATATGGAATTTAGGGCCACTGTACCGGAGTGGTCTACGTTCTCAGCTCATAACCAGGATCCCAGGTTCAATCCCTAGCCGAACCTGGAACGGTGAGACCTATTTCCTTTCACCTGATGACTATCCTATCCACCTTGCAGTGGATAGGTGGCCGCCAGTTAGGCATCCTTTGCCGGCTGCCCCCCCTCCCCCCCTAGGGAAGGGAGGGGGGAGGGGGTAAGGGGGGGGGTCATACCCTGAACTCAGCACTCTGTTCAACGATAAGGGGGGATAAGGATGGATTGAGATCGATAGATAGAAATGAATAGAGAGGGATAGATACCACAATCACTCAGGCCCTGGGTGAGGGGGGGGGGTAGAACCCCGAGAGGGGAAGGTGGGGCTGTATGTCGACTTCTGTTGTCTTTCGAAACTGAGGGTGAATATATAGCCACTCAGCCAGCCGCGGCCGTCTCCATCCTGTAGTCTGTGGGTGTTGTATGTCAGGGGGGGGAAGGGTAGGGAGGAGGGGGGGGGGTAAGGGGCAGGGGGGGGGACTGTCACAGGAGCAGAGATAAAGGCAACAGACAGGCATCAAGAATGGCGTCCTCCTGGAAGAGGTGAAGGAACAATGTCCATACAACCACTTGGATCATCGGGGGATTGAACGCAGACCAGCATAAAAGGCTCCTACTATGCCCTGAAAGGCTCTACTATGCCATAAAAGGCTCCTACTATGCCATAAAAAGCTCCTACTATGCCATAAAAGGCTCCTACTATGCCATAAAAGGCTCCTACTATACCATAAAAGGCTTCTACTATGCCATAAAAGGCTCTACTATGCCATAAAAGGCTCTACTATGCCATAAAAGGCTCCTACTATACCATAAAAGGCTTCTACTATGCCATAAAAGGCTCTACTATGCCATAAAAGGCTCTACTATGCCATAAAAGGCTCCTACTATACCATAAAAGGCTTCTACTATGCCATAAAAGGCTCTACTATGCCATAAAAGGCTCCTACTATGCCATAAAAAGCTCCTACTATGCCATAAAAGACTCCTACTATGCCATAAAAGGCTCTACTATGCCATAAAAGGCTCCTACTATACCATAAAAGGCTTCTACTATGCCATAAAAGGCTCTACTATGCCATAAAAGGCTCCTACTATACCATAAAAGGCTCCTACTAAGCCATAAAAAGCTCCTACTATACCATAAAAGGCTCCTACTATGCCATAAAAGGCTCCTACTATGCCATAAAAGGCTCCTACTATGCCATAAAAGGCTCCTACTATACCATAAAAGGCTCCTACTATGCCATAAAAGGCTCCTACTATACCATAAAAGGCTCCTACTATACCATAAAAGGCTCCTACTTTGCCATAAAAGGCTCCTACTATACCATAAAAGGCTCCTACTATGCCATAAAAAGCTCCTACTATACCATAAAAGGCTCCTACTATACCATAAAAGGCTCCTACTATGCCATAAAAAGCTCCTACTATACCATAAAAGGCTCCTACTATGCCATAAAAGGCTCCTACTATACCATAAAAGGCTTCTACTATGCCATAAAAGGCTCTACTATGCCATAAAAGGCTCTACTATGCCATAAAAGGCTCCTACTATACCATAAAAGGCTTCTACTATGCCATAAAAGGCTCTACTATGCCATAAAAGGCTCTACTATGCCATAAAAGGCTCCTACTATGCCATAAAAGACTCCTACTATGCCATAAAAGGCTCTACTATGCCATAAAAGGCTCCTACTATGCCATAAAAAGCTCCTACTATGCCATAAAAGGCTCCTACTATGCCATAAAAGACTCCTACTATGCCATAAAAGGCTCCTACTATGCCATAAAAGGCTCCTACTATACCATAAAAGGCTCCTACTATGCCATAAAAGGCTCCTACTATGCCATAAAAGGCTCCTACTATGCCATAAAAGGCTCCTACTATGCCATAAAAGGCTCCTACTATACCATAAAAGGCTCCTACTATGCCATAAAAGGCTCCTACTATACCATAAAAGGCTCCTACTATGCCATAAAAGGCTCCTACTATACCATAAAAGGCTCCTACTATACCATAAAAGGCTCCTACTATGCCATAAAAGGCTCCTACTATACCATAAAAGGCTCCTACTATACCATAAAAGGCTCCTACTATACCATAAAAGGCTCTACTATGCCATAAAAGGCTCCTACTATACCATAAAAGGCTCCTACTATACCATAAAAGGCTCTACTATGCCATAAAAGGCTCCTACTATACCATAAAAGGCTCCTACTATACCATAAAAGGCTCCTACTATACCATAAAAGGCTCCTACTATACCATAAAAGGCTCTACTATGCCATAAAAGGCTCCTACTATACCATAAAAGGCTCCTACTATACCATAAAAGGCTCCTACTATACCATAAAAGGCTCTACTATGCCATAAAAGGCTCCTACTATACCATAAAAGGCTCCTACTATACCATAAAAGGCTCCTACTATACCATAAAAGGCTCCTACTATGCCATAAAAGGCTCCTACTATACCATAAAAGGCTCCTACTATGCCATAAAAGGCTCCTACTATACCATAAAAGGCTCCTACTATACCATAAAAGGCTCTACTATGCCATAAAAGGCTCCTACTATACCATAAAAGGCTCCTACTATACCATAAAAGGCTCCTACTATACCATAAAAGGCTCCTACTATACCATAAAAGGCTCTACTATGCCATAAAAGGCTCCTACTATACCATAAAAGGCTCCTACTATACCATAAAAGGCTCCTACTATACCATAAAAGGCTCCTACTATACCATAAAAGGCTCTACTATGCCATAAAAGGCTCCTACTATACCATAAAAGGCTCCTACTATACCATAAAAGGCTCCTACTATACCATAAAAGGCTCCTACTATACCATAAAAGGCTCCTACTACGCCATCAAACCAAATCAAATATTTATCCAGGTAACAGTTCATACATACAAGATGAGTTACAAACATAATGTTGGATTCCTAGACAGAGCTAGTACACACTACAACCCGTTCTCGCACTTGCTTATAGTCAATATTGGCTTATTTAATAAGTGCATATGTGACACACTAATTGATTGTGAATATTTTAGTTTACCTTGAAAAACTTCATAGAAAACACCGACCTCACCTAACCTTCTTAGTATGTTAAGGTAAGCATCTTATTGCTTCTTTCTTACAATTATTATTTAACCTATACCGTTGATATTAGAAGTAATAATTGTAAATAAGAAGCAATAAGATGCTTATCTTAACATACTAAGAAGGTTAGGTGAGGTCGGTGTTTTCTATGAAGTTTTTCAAAGTAAACTTAAATATTCACAATCAATTAGTGTGTCACATATGCACTTATTATATAAGCCAATATTGACTATAAGCAAGTGCGAGAACGGGTTACACACTAGGCCTAAAGCCGCTTAACACGGATAGCGTTTCGGCCTTTTTTTTTCTCCGGTCATCTTGAGAACCTGACTGGAGTAAGGGATGGGTGAGAGGTGGTCTGTCTGGGAGGGCAACACTGAGGGAGGGAGAGAAGTCACAGTCCCGTGACTTGGGAACCGCGTTCGAGTCCCAACCTGTTTCCTGATACGTCACCAACCTCGCCGATGGAAGAGACTCTTAAGTACTAAGAGTTAAGTACTGAGCAGGTTTAAGTACTAAGTATTCCTCCAAAGATACAAGCTCAATTCGCTCATCATGGTGGATAAGCACCTCCAAAGGATACCTGATCAACCAGGCTGTGACTCATACGTCAGGCTGCGAGCAGCCGCGTCCAACAGCCTGGTTGATCAGTCCGGCAACCAGGAGGCCTGGTCGACGACCGGGCCGCAGGGACGCTAAGCCCCGGAAGCACCTCAAGGTAACCTCAAGGTATCATCTTAAGTTATAGCTGAGACGCTGTCCGTAGTTAGGAGCTTTGTAAAATACCAATTGAGTGACCACTTTCAGTGGTCACTGGCGGGACCAAAGAGCCGAAGCTCAACTCCCCACGACTAGGTGAGCACTGTAAGCTCATCCTGTGCATCTTATAATAAAATATTATTATTATTATTATTATTACACAGAGAGTAACCACACCAACGTGTCTGCATCACTGAGAAAATCCGAAGGAGTAGGAGCATGTCGTGGTCTAGTGGCTAGCGTGTGTGTGGGAACACCCACCGCAAAGGTTCGAACCCTTATCACTGCCCCTACTAACTTTATTGTTATTATTATAATTATTATTATTATTAGTATTAGTATTAGTATTATTGTGGCCGAAGACGACCGAGACAACAGGAAGACAACAGAGTGCAACAGACAGGCAACAGACAGACAACAGAGAGGCCTGGATATACTCCTATAAAGACTAATATAAATATAAAATATCTTCCTATAAAATAAAGACGTCATCAGCATAAAGGAGTGCCGGACCAACCGGGCTGTGGTGGGTATGTGGGCCTGCGGGCCGCTCCAAGCAACAGCCTGGTGGACCAAACTCTCACAAGTCGAGCCTGGCCTCGGGCCGGGCTTGGAGAGTAGAAGAACTCCCAGAACCCCATCAACCAGGTATCAACCAGGTATCAACCAGGTATCAACCAGGTATCAACGAGCTCCCAGAAACCGAGAGATGATGACTCAAGCCATGTACACAATACAGCGAGAGTCGTGGTATTAGATGAACAAATCCACAAGGGCCGTGACGAGGATTCGAACCGACGTCCGAGAGCATCCCAGACGCTGCCTTAAATCGACTGAGCTACGACATAGTAAAAAGAATTGTAACCAGAAAGTCTACTGAATTTATTTGGATCCTGCAACCTCTCCGAGACACAAACCAGGATTTTACACAATTTCCCCCATGTAGGAATATAAACCTTGTGGATTTGTTCATTTGATCCATCACGCTATTGTGATTTCTGTGTGTTGGTATTAGTCAACACATCATCCGAGGGGGCGGTTCTCCCATATGCTATGCGTCCTATAGTGACTTTACAACACTGTCTATCTTGCTCTGATGATGGCGAATTAAACCGAAAACGCGTTTAGCATTTTCTATTTTTCACAAATGTGGTTTTTCCGCATATATATCTTCAGGAACGCGTTGATAGCGAGTCTCATTATACCACTGACAGCTGAAATGTACGACCCGTCCGTACACTCCGACACCGAGGGTACGAACACGTGAATACAAAGGAGTGCATACACACATACACATATATACACACATAAAGTATTAAGCCCATTGATTTCCGCTCTATAAATATTATAGGGAGCTCTGAGGCAGAGCGCTGTACCACGTCGCGTCAGGTGAGGTATTATTGGCAATTTTATTTATGTACGAGCAGGTTGTTGAGGTGTTGTGGAGGTATGGCCAGTGTGTGTGGGTGTGGGTGGGTGTGGGTGTGGGTGGGTGTGGGTGTGTGTGGTTGTGGGTGTGTGTGGGTGTGTGGGTGTGTGTGGGTGTGTGTGGTTGCGGGTGTGTGTGGTGTGTGTGTGTGTGTGTGTGTGTGTGTGTGTGTGTGTGTGTGTGTGTGTGTGTGTGTGTGTGTGTGTGTGTGTGTGTGGGTGTGGGTGGGTGTGTGTGTGTGTGTGTGTCTGTGTGTACTTTCCTAGAGGAAATCCTCTATACACAGATGTGCTTGCATAGTTGAAAATCTGCTCCTTGTCCCACCCATATCAGTAGTTTAGTACAATGACTATTCACTGGTTGTTCTCATTATAGATATATAAACTGTGATATATATAAACTGTGATATATAAACTACTTCTCTTAAGGTGAAGACATTTCTCCCGGCAACTCTGTGTCTCACTTGTGTCTCCAGTTTTCATCTACATTCCCTCGTTCTTCTATATGAACACTGCTTCTCTATCTACTCGGTCAATTTCTCTAAGAATCTTGCATCATGTTATCGTGTCTTCTCTATCCCTTGCATGTCCTCAAGCACGATAAGGGCCATTTATCTCAATCTTAATTCACAAATCATTCCCCTTTACTCTGCAACGAAGCATACGTTGCATTTATGGACCTTTCATAGTTTTGTTTTGAAGTCCCTCAGATGTGGGTTCCATGCTGGTGCCGCATACTCTTAAGTGGGTCTCATCTGGTCTGCAAATAACGCTTGCTATTAAGTTCCTGAAGTTCCTGAAGTTCCTGAAGTTCCTTGCTTAGTTCCTTAAGGGTATCCGGACGTTGGCTAATTTGCCAATTACATCAGACGACAGTACAGTTGGCTTAATTTTCGACTCACAATCGGGGATCCTGGGTTCGCTTCCCAGTTTGGACAAAAGTGGTCAGGGACGTTTCCTTTCGCCTAATTCATCTGTTCACCTAGCTGTAAATAGTTACCCGGGAGCTAAGGAACGGTTGTGAGGTTGCATCGTTTGGAAGGTCAATAATTCGAGCTTGGAGCACTTTGATACGAGCCTAAAGAATATATAGGGACAGGAAGACTGTGTTTTTATACACAAGCTTCCTGTTCCCGACAAAAGGAATTATTATATAGTGATGTGCGCGCCTCTGGTGATAGAGCTGACCTCTGGTTCAAGGTCCAACTCTTCTTCGGAAGTGGAAAGCTGTCTACCCCCCTCATTGTATATTATATTCTATAGTCTAGACTCATTCTATACCGTCTGATCATTCCTATTCAAGTCATCATAATTTGACGTTTTCCAGTTGCCTTGTTTCGGATTCTCTGTCTGGCTCATTCTGCATCATCAGTAAACATTGATATCAATAGATCTATTTCCCCTATTAGGTCGTTTACATATATTAAGAAGTGGAAGGGAGTTAATACCGACCCCTTGGGGGTACTCGGCCCATTACTTCTCTCCATTACTGATACCTTCCCTCTCATTGTGACTCTTGGCCCTCTTTTGTGAAAGGTCCAGTTCTCTCCTACGCTAAACTTAGAATGCTTCTCGGTACACCAATCTACTTCTCTAGTTGGAAATAGGAGTCGCTTGTGAGAGAGAGCGTCGGGTGGTTCCCCAGCATTAAGGAACATGTGTGTCAAACACTCCACTTGGGCTGTGACGGTAGAGATCAACAGTCTCGCTTCATGCAGGTCGGAGTTCAATCCCCGACCGTCCAAGTGGTTGTACACCATTCCTTTCCCTCCCCCCCCCCGTCCCATCCCAAATCCTTATCCTGATCCCTTCCCAGTGATATATAGTCGTAAT